ATGGCACATCTGTGGACATTAATGTTTAGATAAACTTGCCAAATATGATGACTTTTACCCCGATGCTAAAATCATGTCAGTGGAGTAAAATGTACGTAGCCAAAAAATAGTTTTTAGCGTTTGCTGACGGCTAGACTTACGCGTTTACGGTACCGGTATGTACCATAAAGTCCATAACCATCATAATTACCCAATAAATTTATGCATTTTTACAATATTAAAGTATTTTTCAATTATATTGACATTGTATTTGTAGCGAGTATAACAAAATACTGAAATGACAACAATGAATACTTCTAACTGTATTAAAAATATGTGACAAGGTGCTGCTTTTACAGAAGATGCGGTAGCCTTTCAGAATGAATGGAGAAGGAAGACCTGTAGTGCATCAACTGATCTTAGGAACCGGTACCAAAAACAGCCTGTGCACAATGAGAAACTGCCCTTTTCCGAAGCTTTTGCAAATTCTAATCCTTACCATAAACTACCGGCACTAACGTATAAACCAGGCGATGATGCGATGCAAAAAAGAAAGCCAACTTCAATGTGAAAATAACGATCTCTCTGTGAAATTTATACTACACCCGTCTGTGACAAAACTGAAATGCGAAATGGTTTATTAGTCACTTTTTAACTAACCAGTAAGTATCTGTACGTATTTTAAACGATTACGCAATATCTAATAAGTGATATCAGTGGTGTAACACATAACCATAAGTATTTTGTGCGGCTGGTTACCAGCGATCGCGATGTCAAACGTTTCGTATGGAACGATGTTGTACTAAATGAAAATACTGAAAGCCAAAGCCCAATAAAAACCGCTTTTGTTTGCAGCACATGCGTAACGGACATAATGGCCTATAATAACCAGTCAAAGTTGGGGTTAAATCAGTTAACCACCAAGCAAAACTGTGAGCACAATAATAGTAACTCTGCGGTTTTCAAACGTGTGTTCACTGCTCAGGGATACCTGTTTCGATACAAGAATGAAATGCGATAACAGCACAAATTTTTCTCATCGTATTTTATTGATTCAGCATAAAATGGCGCCAAATAAAAATCGTATAGAAGACACTGCCGTCTAAGCGCAGACACTCGGTTTTAACGAAAAAAAGTTAAGCACCACTGATCAAGGATTTAGAAAAAAGCGGCGATACACTTTACGTCAAGAAACATGCAAGTGCCGATGCACAATATATTCATTCAACGTACTGACAGACCACAAAATGAACGGATTATTCCGTCTTGTCTAGCACTTCCAAACGCTCCTGCAGTGTCGGGTGGGAATGATTGAACATGCTGTACAGTCGGTCATGGACAGGGAAGCTTTTGTTTGTCCGATTCAGTTTCAAGAGGGCCTCTTTCAGTGCTTCCGCTGCGTTCAACTTCTTGGCAAAATTGTCAGCTTGAAATTCGAAAATTCGGCTCAGAGTGATCATGCCAAAATTTAAAACCTAAAATTTAAAAAAATGTATTAACTGCAGCCATACATTTCAATCAAAGTGACTAACGTTGTACCGACAGAAAAGTGAAAACCAAAAAGGTGACTTGAATTCATCAACGTTAAGCGAAACCAAGAAAAAAATTCATGGAAAACTTTTTCAAGTATTTCGACTTACGTATTTTCCAACCACACCAACGATTCATAACTGTTTTACCCCGTACACACGCGATTGCGATCGTTATCATACTGGTCGCTGAGCATTAAGCAGCGAGCTTATAATTCACTTCAAATTTTAAAACATATATTTGACATGTTAAAGTCTAGAAAATTCATATTACGAAACGGCATCTAAAAGCTAACCCAAAATGAAGACTAATAACGCACATATACCTCATTAACCGGGGAATAAATGTACTGCAGAATTAAAATGAGGCCGATAATAATTGGAGTCTCGTTGCGAAAACCAAAGGCCTCGTAAATAGCCTGGTTTTTGTAGAGCATGCCGAATATTCCGAACGACATCAGCATGGTTATCTGCAAGCATTACACGCTGATCCCAATTTGTGTGACAGCAAGTGGCATGTGTCTCACCATGGAAATCAAGATGTTTTTCCAATAATGCCCCAACGACCAGTGACCCAGTTCATGGGATAATACTGCCACAATTTCATCGTCACTGCAAGCCACAGCCGACTCGGCCTTACTTTCGTCAGTCCCTTTCGTCTGCCAAGAGAAAATTTTTCAAAGTTTGTTTTAAAATTAGAAAGTCACAAAAGCATGTCCGTCAATCAGAACGTACGAAATGAAGGACAATATAAATGCCGCTAACCTGAATTTTTCCTTCCGCCACTTCAGGTACCACTTCAGCAGTAGAGGAAGCAGATTCTTTTTCCTTTGATTTGCCATATTCTGGGCCGAACAGCGTATCAAAAAGGACAATGGTCTTCTTGTTGAACATTCCGAAGAAGTAAGCGTTAGCATGGGCAGATCGCTTTGACCCTGAGGAGGAAAAACAAGGTTTTATAACTTGTTGTTAAAAACTCCTAAAAATACCAGGCAACTATCACAGAAGTATGTACAGATATTAAGTACTCACTACTAGTTCACTCAATTTAGTCTGTGATGTTACTGCTGCTATCTTTGTGCAGAAAATAATTATCAAGCGGGCGAGCGATAATTATTGATAATTATTAATAATTAATTAACTTTTCTGCCATTTTATAATATTAGTAATTATTTTCTGTCAAATTTAAGACATTTGATAGTTTCTAAGGCATAGGCACTGGCCCTGGACGGTTGTATGACTACACACGGTCTATTGTTGTGGGGACAGAAACGTGCGAACGCCACAAATAAGCTGCCAAAAACCTTCATCGAATATTGTATATAATACAGCTTCCCTTCTCTTGTCTGTTGTAAACAGTTCTTACGCTTTCGGGAGCGCAAAATCAAAATTCTTATGCTATAAATTATGAACAGCTTTATTTATAGATCCAAATGGGAAGAACGAAACCCTGACAACCAACACTCAACTAACCTTCAATAATATACAAACGGTGAAGAGGGAATTTCAGTTTGTTAGCCAGCGCCTCTATTTTCTTTCGCAGTTCTCCTTCAGGGACAGGCTTGAACGTATCGAAAATCGGTGCAATGTAATCTTGATAAATGGTAGAAATAAACTGGAAACGCAAATATTTCGTTATGATACCGTTCAGATAAGTCCTGACATGGGCCCACTTACCAAAAACACGACAACGCAAAATAACCATGCATAAAAGAATGCGTAATCTCCTCCGATCTGAAAAAGCAAAGCTAGGCAAAACACGTAACACAAGCAACATGTAAAACATAAAAATTAATCACACACTTACGTCGATAACGTAAATTAATAGCGGTATAACAACGTTCATAATAATCAAATGGAATACAACGAAACTTTTGACGAGATCCTTGATGAAGAATGAGAAATTCTGCAAAAGCGAAACCAGAATGATAATTTTGTGGTTAGCTAAAACTTTTTCGGTGTTGACGATGAGTACCTGCTTATTCATTCCATGTCTTTCCTCGATCACGAAGGTTTTGTAGTACGAAAACGGAAACGATGAAATGGTCTGATACACCTACGACACAAACACTTGGTGCCAAACTGCCATAAACCGAAGCGAATAATTCAACACTTTTTCATTATTTGTCATATTAACTTCGTTAACTTACTTGCGCCAGGATCAAAAATATCATTGTCTGAATGATCTGAAAAAACAACATTAACTTGTAGATCGTCAGGCTACAACCATGCAAGTTACCTACATATTTTTGTAGGCAAAAATATGTAGGAAACTATTATGTGGATAACAAAAAAATGGCAAAAATATGTAGGTAACTATTATGTGGCTAAAATATGTGGATAACTATTATGTGATATTCAGTTTTCTCATGTTTTTCCCACTTTTTTCCATTTTAAATAGAAATTCACTGCAATTTTTTATTACATACACCGATTCGGATGTTCCAGGAACATTACTATTTCGCATCATAAGTGGCAACTTTCGAAGTTAACCAAATCTAGCCAACTTCAAAGCAAACGTGAGCACCGATCGGAATAAACAAGCAGTTGGTACTTGGTACGGGTTCGTTGTATCCGGTATCAACCGTACTAGTACTTGTTGCCACTTACTTGATGTCCCAAGGGACCCCAGTTTCCGGGAACCAAATATCCGCTCTTCCTCCACAACCACGGCATTCCATTGAAGAGTAGAATCAGCTACACACGAAGATATTAATCTTATGCACGACATCAACCCAAAAACATGGTTTTACCGTTGCTTCAATGTGGCTAACAGCGCCCATGAAGATTCCGAAGGATGACTTATCCAAGGTGTACGAACGACTCTTCTCAAATTCCTGTTTTGTAATGGAATCGCGTAAACGGAATGGAATTTCTTTGGCATGTTTCTGGGTCCAGTACTACAATATTCGAACATGTTCTTTTTATACCTCTATAGCCTACAGACAGGCAGATATCTATCTACACTGAATAAAAACCAACCTCCCGCAGAGATAAGTAACTATCCCAAAGGTATACCATCCACATAAACCCCAAGCAGCCCCAGAATATGAGAGACGGGTTCCCATAAAATGAAGTATGCGTCGACGGGGATTCCGTATCCAGATGGCTCGGCATCTGGACTGGTTGATAATCCATCTTCAATCTTCACAAGAACCACTTCGAAGTTCTTTAAGATTATAAAGAACTGAACTGCTGAAGTTACGCCCCAAACAATGAAAAACAACCTAAAATATCGTGAGATTACTGGTTGTGGTACCTACACCACAATTACACGTAGTAAAAAATGGTTTAGTGTTCATCAGTGGATTTGCGGTGCGTTGCTATGTTTTCACTTTTCTCCTGAAAAGCTGTAAAATGCAGAATGGAAGTCCACGCGATCGCCATCTCATGGCGTCTGGCGATAGTATTCCTGTCTATAAGAGTGCCCCCTGATGCCTGCCGTATTATATTAAATTTGAAAGTCTCCTTTTCGAGAAACAGAAGGTTTGTCACAACTCACAAAAATATTTAGATTTGTAAATAATAATAAGGATGCTGGTCTTTGATGAATCTTCGCGTTTATAATGAAATGTAATTCTATTTTGAATTATTTCTCTGTTTAAACCCTGATTGATCTCTTTGGCACCTTCGGACTCAGGTATTTCGGTGCATTGCCAGGAACTGCCTCTCACTAACGCGCTCAGCCACTGGATTGCAGGGGAACCCTCAGCCCTGAGTGAACCCTGTCAAAAAGTATGGCGGAACAGAATTTCGCTAAAGGAGGGAAACAGAAGGTCCCTCGTGCTGGACAGGTAAGTGCTTTCTTCATAAACAGCCGTTGTAACATTTATATCCAGTTTGAGGTTGAAGAATGAAGAGTACATTTAGGCTTGTCACCATTTGTGGTCTACCGTGATAAAACTATTAAACTACTAGGTTTTTGTAGATAATCTTCATTCCATTTTCTCTGTGCACGACAGCACTAGCAGGGCTTTTGCAGTTTGGCTGACTCTTACTTTTTAAACTGAGTGTGTTAGTATAATATTACGAGCTCAAGATTGACCATGCGATTTGGGATCAGTTTGGTTTCCTGTCTGACTGTAGAACTTGAGCAGTATACATTCCGCTTGTTAATATTCTGAATTCTTACAGGTTAAAAACAAAACTCCGGCTGATATACAGATCACTGCTGAACAGCTCCTTCGAGAGGCGAAGGAACGCCAGCTTGAAGTTGTTGCTCCGGTAAGTGTGCCTTATATGAATCAGCCGTTTACTACTTACGTTAAGTATTCGCATAGCAAACTACGTACCGATCATTGATGTACTTAATTAACGCTCCCTATATATTTTCTGTAGCCGCCAAAGCAGAACATCACTGATCCGGTTGAGTTAGCTGACTTTCAGCTTCGGAAGCGAAAGGTACTAGTACGATATAGCTGGTTTGTTTTTTTGGGGAAATTTCTTTATTGTGGAGTACTTTGTCTACTAGGAATTCGAAGATGGCATCCGTCGCAATCGTAACAACATTAGCACTTGGATCAAGTATGCGCAATGGGAGGAAACGCAGAAGGAAATCCAGAGGTAGTTATCATTGCTAATGGCTGTGATTAATTTTTCTGGTTTGATAGCACTTGTTTTGTCGTCTTTGCAGATGCCGGTCTGTCTTCGAGCGGGCGCTTGACGTTGAGCACCGCAATATCACGCTTTGGTTAAAATTTGCTGAAATGGAGATGAGGTATCCGCTTTTTTCGATTCGTGTGTTAAGTGAAATTATGCTACGTAATATTTTTACAGAAACCGACAGATAAATCATGCTCGCAACATTTGGGATCGCGCAGTGACGATAATGCCCAGAGCCAACCAGTTTTGGTATAAATACACGTACATGGAAGAAATGCTGGAAAACGTTGCTGGATGCAGGTACGCTTACATTTTGCGCATCCGCTAATTGAAACAAAGTAACAATGATTCTGTGGTTTGAAATAGGCAGGTGTTTGAACGCTGGATGGAGTGGCATCCGCATGAACAAGCATGGTTGAGCTTTATCAATTTCGAGATGCGCTATAAAGAATTAGACCGAGCGCGGGCCATTTATGAGCGTTTCGTACTGGACCATCCGGATGTAAAAAACTGGGCAAGATTCGCTCGATTTGAGGAACAGAATGGGTTCGTCAATGGAGCAAGAAAAGTTTTTGAACGCGCTGTGGAATTTTACGGCGAAGATCAAGTTTTTGAAGAACTTTATGTTGCCTTTGCTCGCTTTGAGGAAAGACAGAAAGAAGTAACATTTTGTCTTTTTTCGATTCGCCATAAATTCAGATCTAACTTTCAGATTTTCAGTTCGAGCGTGCGCGTACCATTTATAAATATGCTCTGGATCATCTCTCAAAGGAAAAGGCAGCGGATCTTTTCAAGAATTATAGCATCTTCGAAAAGAAGCATGGATCCCGAATCGGAATTGAAGATGTTGTTTTGAACAAGCGCAAATTTCAGTATCAGGAGGTGAACATGACAGATATTTATTACATGCTGTTTCAGGGTTTCGAATGTGCGATTGCTGTTTCCTATTCCATAGCTCATGTATTTATGATCGTCGTATCTTTGTTACGCCTGCATTATTTTTAATTGTAGGAGCTGAAACGCGACCCCACAAATTACGATGCCTGGTTTGACCTTCTAAAAATCCTCGAAGAAGAAGGAAATCATGATGCCGTTCGTGAAGGTTACGAAAGGGCCATTTCCAATGTGCCACCCGTGGAAGAAAAGCGTTACTGGCGGCGATATATCTACCTGTGGATACGCTATGCAGTCTTTGAGGAATTAATTGCAGATGATATTGACCGGACCAGACAAGTGTTTACAGCATGCATCAACTTAATTCCACACAAAAAATTCACATTTGCCAAGATTTGGTTACTGTTTGCACAATTTGAAATCCGTCAGAAGAGACCAGCCGATGCAAGAAAGATCTTGGTAAGGAGAATGTGTTGTACAGTGTATGCACACAACATCAGGCAGTTTATAAAGATAGATGCAAATTAATTGCAGTAACGTTAATTTTTTTCTTTTCAGGGTGTGGCGATAGGCAAATGTCCGAAAGATAAATTATTCCGCGGATACGTTGAACTGGAAGTGCAGCTACGAGAATTCGATCGATGCCGACTGTTATACGAAAAGTTTTTGGAATTTGAGCCGGGTAACTGTTCTACGTGGATGAGAGTAAGTTGGTGAATTTCTCCGTCTTAATCGTCTGAAAATTACAACATATTGATGACGTTTGCTCCTGTGGACTTAATGATTGATGCTTCTTTGATCACAGCACAGTAATTGCAATTTATGTCCTTCATTTCAGTATGCCGAGCTGGAAGCAGTACTGGGTGATGTGACTCGCGCACGAGCGATTTATAATTTGGCTGTAAATCAGCCTCGTTTGGACATGCCGGAAGTACTATGGAAATCGTTTGTCGACTTTGAAATAGAACAGAAAGCAGTAGATCGCGCCCGTCAGCTGTACGAGCGCCTGTTGCAGCGTACTAACCATGTCAAGGTACAAGGTTATATTGTCTCTTTGCATATTAAAATAGTAATTCACAGGTGGAATGTGCGTCAATAGGTTTGGATAAGCTTCGCGCAATTTGAAGCCGGGATTGGGGATGGCGACGCTGTCCAGAAAGCTCGCGCCGTGTACAGACGAGCTTTAAGAACGCTGCAGAATGAAAATGCCGATAAAGAAGAACGCGTAATTTTATTGGAATCATGGATGGCATTTGAGGTTGGTATTAACAGAATACGGACCGTTAAATAATTAAGTTTCAAAATCCAAAACGCTGTTGTTTTTGCACAGGAAACGTATGGCGATGAGAAGTCGAAGGAAGAAGTTCGGAAAGAAATGCCCAAACGGATCAAGCGTCGACGGAAGATTCAAACCGACGACGGTGCCGAAGCAGGATGGGAGGAATATTTCGATTATATTTTCCCCAGCGATGAGGTCGCTCAGCCTAATCTCAAGCTTCTTGCTTTGGCACGGCAGTGGAAAAAAGAGAAGCAGACGCTTCCTACCCAAGAAGAGGCAGAACGCGAGACAGGTGATAACGTTCCAGAAAACGACATGGATGCGGATAGCGAATCATCAAGCAGTTCTGGTCCCGATTAGCTGACAAAATAACTGTGCATCCATAACTGTGCATCCATTGCCATCCAAGCTGTTATGTTCACATTGCACTATATTCGGAAATGTTTCCCGAGCGACACACTCAGTGTCTCAAGATTCACTGTTTTGTTAATCGTTATCTTTAATTAGTTCTGCTTTCGCATGCGGAACTGGAACTACTATAACAATACTACTGGAACTACTATGGAAATACTATAACAAGAAACAAAAACCACACAAATAAAGCGACCGTAATACAGAAACAACAACCACTTCTGACTGATCCAAGAGCACACATTTCATTCTGGGACTTCGTCTGGATGAATGGGATCTTTTGGAGCCGGTAACACTGACTTTCGATCAACGTCACACAGCAAAGGTTTTCTCATATCAAAGGCATCTTCACTAGGATCTCCTGAATAATATTCGAGAACTCGACGGTAAATAACGTAGCCCATCTTTTTGTACATTTCCACCGCAACTTGATTGGAAACGCGTACGTACAGATCGCAAAAGTACGCCTTCCGTCTATAACCACAATCATCATAGCCATTATTTCAGCAGATTTAAACTTCGGTATAACAAAAAATGGTATAACGGTATGTCTGCAAAATACAGATGTAAATATGTTCGAGTCGTTCGAACAATGCGCAAGCGAATTTACTTGTTGGAGACTTCCTCAAAGCGCTTCATGAGATCGGAGGCAATCCCACATTTCCTGTGAAACAAATCCACACTTAGCGCCGTGATGTGACTGTGCCAATTGGTTCCTTCTCCTTCCACTTTCCCCATGACTGCAAAACAGGAACCGCATGGGAAAAGACGAAACAACTCATGGCGCCACACGACATTAATTCACTTTCAAAATAAGTGCCATTCGGTCAAGCGTAGTGTGCACTTACTGTAGCCAATAATTTCCTTATTGGGATCCACTGCCACTAGGAACAGATCCGGCCATGTCAAAAAATAATGCAAATAAAATCCCGCATTGTACTGTATAAACGAAGAAATACCAAGTTAATTTTCAGTGCCTACTGCACACCAAATGTTGAATTAGAGCATCGTTAACGAAGCCGAGTTTTCCAACTTACAGTTTCCGTCCAATAATCCACGTTTCTGAAAACACCCATATTCGTTTAACGTTTATTAGCATGGTATGCAAGTGGCGCACTTTATTCAGATTTAAACATCCATCTTTTACTAAGTAGCACGCATAACCATAACAATTGCAAGCTCACATTCTTGATATTCCAGGATTCATGAGATCAATAGGATTGGCTTCGCGCACATAGAAAGCTACATTGCGGCTATCATTATTGTTGTCGTTGCTTTTGTTGTGATCCATCTAGAAATTACCAATATGAAACCACTGAAATTTAACAATGATAAAGCATAAGCGTTTGCCATTTGCCAACACCCTCGCTGTACACTTGATACATTTTTAAATTTTATATATATTTATACATATTTGATATTATACAAGTACAAAGTTATACCGAAGTGACGAAGTCTATAATTAAATTTTTTTAAGGGTACGCGAGTGCGATTTGTCTGACAAGGACAAGTCGAACCCGTTTAACAAAATGCATAACCGAAAACTGAAGGAACCTGTCTCCCACACAAAATTTCCATTTTTCCTTTTTCCTAACTTAAGAACTGTAAGACGTCAATAACGGAGCATCTCAGCACAAACAAACACGTTGCACAGTTGCAATCAATCAAGACAGCATAAATTTACTGCTCACTAAAAATAACTAAATTAAATAAAAGCATGCTTACCTGGATCTTTTGCAACAGCTGCAGCCACAACAACACGGGATAACCGAAAACGTCCTAAAGGCAAAGATCCCACCGGTGCGTTCGCAATATTATTCGGTAATATTGCAGTACTACAATATTATCATAAATGATATAGAAGTATACTGTGCTTAAGTCGTGGCTTTATGTCCAGAGTGCACAGAGTGACAGACTGTAAACTCCTAAACCGGAGTCCAAGCCATATGGCGGTCCGTTTGGGTCAGCAGCCGTTTTTCGAGTTTTCTCGTTTGCCAGTTTGTCGGTTTGTACATTTTCACGATTCGCACGTGTGCACGATTTCATGTATTGACGTGCGCACATGTGCACAATTTCTTGATTTTCAGTTTTTGATACTGTTGGTGTTCTTGAGTTCAGGTTTTCGTGTTTTCAGTTTTTGAGACCTTGATTAATGATTTATTTTTTATTATTTTTGATTTTCATTTTTGCGATTTATTATTATTTTTTGATTCAGATCCTTTAATCCAGAAAATTCAGTTTGGCCGAGGTGGTTTCATCCCGAAATTCCTAGTTGGCATTCCGAGAACTTTTTCCTGGAATTCCTGATTGGCATTCCGAGGACTTTTTCCTAAAAGCCCATGCAAATAAGGCCGATTCCTTCGCCGTTGATCTGTTTGAATCGATGGTGGAATTTACTGGAGGCTCTCAGGCTCACTAAGATTTTTTCTTTTTGCATCACATTAGATCGAAATTCAAGCACGGTTTTGTTGATATGCAGCCCGTGACGAAGTTCAGCCCCACTGCCTACAAGATCAACATGCGTTCCATGTCCAGCGCTGTGCATATGCTCCAGGATCGTCTGTCTGTGTTTTCCAGTACATGGCCACCGTGGAGCAGAAACAGTTGCCACCGGACAATAATTATTGGGTAGCATGAATTGGGAATTGTAATGCTACCTGCGTGTTTTCTTTGACGTTAAAAAACGTATGGTTTAATGCGGACACTTCTTCGCTTAACCAACTGTGGCAGAAGAACGAGCAGAAAATTAAAAAAACTTGACGCGGCAATTTCGGATGTTTAAAGAATTTGGGATCTGTCAAAGTGCGCGAAGCGTACCTTGCCAAGTTTAATAACCTTTCCCGCACTGGAGACAAGGTGGGGGAATGTTTAAAGATTTCTCATGCTTGAGAATGCATAGCTTGTTTTGCACTAGGAAGGGGCTGAAAGTGCGTTTCGACAGCGCTTTGAAAAAACAGTAAGTCAAGGCAACAAACTCGATCCGATTTTCCAAATTGTCCGTATCGGTATCTTCTTTGATGATTTGGATTTAACCGCACACATTTTGGATAAAGCATGGAGGTGCGTACTGCTTGGCTTCGAAGTGGTTAAGAAGTTTCTGCGCATATCTGTTATGATTTTGCCAATTATTATGAGCGGTTTTTTTTTATGCACAGTCTGCTGGAGCAGGGCGGTGATTGGGATCGACGAAACCGGCTAAAGGTGTACGAAGCATGAAGATGCTTGAGTTTCCAAAAGCCACCATTAATTTTCTGGTTGCAGTTAGCACATTTACCTGTTCGGAGATACATATTAGACTACGATACCTACGTGGCGTATAACGTCATGTGCGCGATGCTGACGCTGGAACGAGCGAAACAAAGAAAAAGTAGGTGTTTACATTATTTAAAAGTGGTGATAAGGATCTGATTGTGGTATTAAATTTTTTTGTAGTGACCACTGACCACTTTTACGTAAAATTTGGTATGGATACTCACACTTTCGCTTTAAAAGGGATAGTTGCCCTATTAAACAAAGTTGTACGAGTACTATTCAATTATCTTATTATGACAGGACTGCTAGTGTAGAGCACTCGCCCAGCATTTTTGTTTGCTGATTATGCAACGTTTCATTGCGACTGAAGCGAATTTATAACTGAGGAGGTTGCTTCTTATAACGGTGCTATCACTATTCATCGAGTATAATTGTATTAAGTGTGTCCGGAGCGCTGAGACTGTGGAAGTTTTGCTTAGAATGCCGGATATGCGACAGTTTCTCAGCTCATTGTACGGATCGCATTATGCTGAATTTTTTCTAGAGCTGGGTGAGATTTTTCTTTCCGAAAAGGTAATTCAAAGTTCTAAAGAAGTTTTGTGATTTTATTTTTGATTACAGCAAACTTTGAGCAGAAAGTAAAAGCGGACCGGTACTGACTGGGCTGATCATCACCTCGACAACACGCGGGAAATTATTGTTACGGTCAAGCATGCTGCCGTTCTTCCGATCATTTCGTTCGGCTGTGGTACTTTTGGTATGTTGACAGATACTTTGTATTGATTATCGTTAATACTGTGGCTGTCTAATCCTGTTATTGGGGTTTTCCGAATAAAACGTTTGATGACTTTCGCGTACTGATAGATCGATGTCGGAGAGTTGATAAAAACTGTAATTTCAAAACTTTACAGCGTAAGCTGGCGAACTGCATTAAATAGGAAGTTTAAAATTTAATATGCTTGTCTGTTTACGATTTTATGTGGCTGACGGCGACGGCGTTAAATCCAGGCCCTCAAATTTTATTCCGCATTTACTGTGTTACCTTTTAAGCGCGCATTCATTATTACGTGTTTGTTGTACATTGATTACTGCTACACATTTGTGGCTTTAAAATTTATGTTTTTAATAGGTTTGTCCACGTTTTCCAGCTAGTCATTGTGTTGGTTTTACTGATGTGCATTGCCAGTAAATACTATTGCCGCCGGTGGATGCTGATTAACCGAGAACGATCCACGATTGTCGTTTACCGCTCACCGAATGTTATGGCTTATCACGGTCAGTATTCAAAAAAATCTACAGTGAATAGATACCCTAGCTGTTCGCGCGTTCTGTTGTCGCTATTTCGAAAGACAGAAGTCTGCTGCATATTGTATCAGTTTCCTGCTTTGTACGGTTTCGCAGACAATCTTAGGGTCGATTATTATGCAATTACTATATTATTACCATAGAAAACACGCAAACTGTTAATCTAAGGATAGTTACGTCAGTAATTTCAGTAGGATACTTTCACGATTTTTATAGCCAAGTGCGCACTGGGCATCTTATGCTAATTTTGACCAATGGGAACAGTCAGATGTACCGTTCAGATTTGATGTTAAATGTTATACTTCGAAGTACCTTATCGTGTGCTTAAGACAAGAGGTTATTACTGCATGCAGTCGCTACCGTCGCAAACATACGAAATCTTACGGCAGATTAATTGTACACCTACCGCTCTGCGTGCTTGAAGCGGTATAACATTATTTACTTGAGAGTGTTTGTGTGAGCGAAGCTTATTATGTACAGTACCTTTCCTCTGTTGTACTTGTACCTTGTTCATAGAAAATTGAGCGTACTTGCAGATGGGTGAACATTTAAGTGAGTGTATGAAGGGTTTTCAGCAACAAAAAAACAGCTGCTAAATGACGCTTTTCTTTGTTGTATAGTGGGTGAAGCCCATCCGAGTTTTTATCCTCGTGCCGATGTGCAAACAACAGCTGTTTATCCTACATACACCGGTCCGGGAACAGGCGGCCTGACCTTTCTAGCTTTACCCGGCGGCGGAAAGTAATGGTCGGCTGCCGGAGAATCCAAAGGGCCGCATCCTGCTCCACCGCCCAGTTGCAGCGATTTGTACAAATAGTCGCTTATTTTGCTGATGCGTTTTAAAGTAGAACTTGCACGGCCACGTCGCTGAGTTTGATCTGTCATTGGTGTTTTTTTATTTTCCAAACCATCCGTGTGGGGTGGCTTTGTAAGTTATTTACAGTGTTGGAGTTTTTTGAACGATGTGGTGCTACATGCCGCCCATTATAAAACTTTTAATAAGTAATAAGGAACTATTTTTCCGTATTGTGAAGTTATAATAAAAATAACGGAATAAAAAATTTCGACAACAAGTGGAGAAAATGTCGGAAATATATAACGTTGCACTGGTTTTGACATTAATTTGGCTGGATTTGGGATACCGGTTCGAACCTTTGACCAGTGACAGAATGTTTCGAAAATATAACAGTGTATTTCCTCTTACTTGTTAAATAATGTAGCTTCGAAGCCATTCCGGACGCAAATATAGTATTAAATCTACGGGACACGTATTAACATAGGTGAAACAGTATCTTAAAACAGCGGAAAGGTCACAAAAGCGTATAGCATGTTACGATTTTTTATTTCAAAATATGGCGTAATATGAGTTCCGGTAACTGACGCATGGCAGATAATGTGTGAAAGAAACGGCTGCGCCATAAAACGAAAGGAGCAGTATCTGCGAGAAGGTATGATGCAAATTTTGTGCTCATCTCTCCAAAGTCTCCAGCAAGCTTAAATTATCGAGTTGTGCACGTGATTTCTTTGGAACATGAGATTTGCTTTTTTAATACCATTAGTTGTCTACAAAACTACCAATAGCTAGCAATCTTAGCATAAATGTGAACAAATTTCGTAATATTCATGAGCGATAGATTCACCATCTCGAGAGTGGTAGCCGCAAATTAATGGCAATAAATATGCGGGAAATATCTAGCGATTCTGCTTACAGTAACTTAAGTCTTAAAGTAAGTATTTAAACGAACCTGGTTCGAGATGTATACGTAAGTATAATTCTTACTTACGGTTGAGTCACAGAAAATGAAGAATAATCGCTGCGCTGTAATTTATCGCTGCATACTAAGCTACCCACTCAAGATCTAACATATTCGTCTGCATGTTTTGAGAAATTATTACGTCTACGGATTTGAAGTGAAAAGACTTTAGTAATTAAGAGAATAAGAATGCAGAGCTGGCTGTGATACTATAGTTAGTTATTACCACATCCTGTTTAGTAGCATATACAGTTAGATCAGCATGCTAGAGGAATATCTATATACAGGTAAACTGTATATTATTATATCAGCACGGAGATTTATGTTAAGTGAAATAATGCAGTGACAAATGTATTTGTTTGAACCAGGTCTCATAAATTAAGCACGTTATACGCAAGAATATGACATTGACCTGCCTACAGTTACATCGGAAATTACATTTGCTGTTTCGGTAATGCGTACTGCGTACAGCTACAGCCATAAATCTACTTGTAAAACTGCATGATTTGTGCAATCGAGTTTAAGTATCGTTACGTTCAATGTGTTGTTTACCGAAACTATGAAGAAACTGCTCACAATGGCGCAAATGTACCTTAATGTTTCGACATCCATTAACGACAATAAAATCAGTACATAAAGAATAGAAGCTGCTTATTAACAACTTCCGTATTTTTCACAGATTCAATGGAAAGTTTTGATGCAACATTTCTTTGGCCGCTTGAAACAAAGGAATTCCGTAAAATCCGTCCTCTTGAGTAATGTCCAGATTGGCTAAGACGAAGGCGGCTTCATTAGGGTACAGGCTGACAATATCAAAAACGGGGACAGAATCTCTTGAATGCGCGGCATTATTCGTTATGAATTCCGGAAAATTTTCAGGGATATCTACATCGGATTGCGGCAGAGGATCACCTAACATAACTTGCTGTAAGGAAAATCCTTTTAGCCCCTTCTCCCGGCATCCAAGAGTGAAAATTTGCCTAGGAGACATATTACGTTCGGTTTCCAGTTTATGGTTGTTAAAAAAGGAGATGAAATTATTCAGCTTCATTTGGATTCGATCCACAAAAATTAGATGCAAAAGCATCACGTCTCGCTGGCTGTTAATATCCAGAATTCCCATGTTTTCCATATGTATAAAAACGGATCGAAACAATTTCAGTACAACCCGTCCCAGATCGCGCCACAACCGTTCAATGCGCTGGTTGTGAACGGAAGGCCCTCTAATAATACTTCCACGATTCGGACCCATGTAATGCTCCATCCAGCGGGCAACGCCAAAATTTTCCCCTATGAAATTTTCATATTTAGACAACTGCAACTCACTATATATGTACTTATTGTGCTACTCACCGCCGCAATCTGTGCGAACTCTAGATGGCACTCCGGATGACGCGCAGGCATTGACGAAAGCTTGCAGAACTGTACTCGCACGGTTATTTGTCGCAGCCAGTAGCGAAACGACAAACCTAGAGTATCCATCAATAATTCCGTGCACAACAATACCCCATCGAACCAGTTTATGATTGCCATCCAGGTGCCACAATGCGTTCGGCCCGGGATTTGAATACTGTCGGCGAGGAACAAATCGGAAAAAGCGCATGGCAACGGCAAACGGATCCAACCGTCTCATGGAACTGATCACCCTGTGACGTGGCAAAGTTAATCCATTAGACTTTAACTGCGCCCGTACAAATCTGTATCCCACATTTGGAAAGGACTCCAAAATTTCAGTAACAGCAATATCCAGATCATCGTCAGCAACCATGGAGTTCTAAAAAGTAAACTGGAAAGCTGAAAACACAATACGATTGCATTACGATTACTGTTCAATGATTTATAGTACGAAATGTATCGTACCAATAAAACATTTGTCATATGGATTTTCATCAGAACTAAGTGAAAGCTTTCCCGATAATAACTTATTAATACATTTTTAATATTGAATTCTGTTTCTTAGATGTACCAATAAAAGGGGTAGATACAAAAGTCTTTCACTGTACCTTCCTGTTTAAATCTGCTTCTTGCAACCGGCGTTGGACCGTTTTTGGCGAAATTTCATAGAATGCCGCAATATCTTTCACAGTAAAACCGTCGAATCTCAGCTCCGCTAGATCATCCTCTGGTATCATAATCTTGCCTTTGTAACCCGTTTGCACAGCCAACTGGAAATCCATGGCGCCTCCATTTTCGTCTTCTCGTAACAAAGTGCGCAAACCAGTGGAATGTTCACATAGAACATCAAATAGTCGCTGAGCTTGGACAGTCTGATCTTCAGGAAAACTTTCACAAACGTCTCTCGTATAACTGCAAATTTGATAGATCTATTTGGACTGTGTAAATGGCTCGTGCACTTCGAATTACCCGATCAAGTATTCAATCTGAGTAACAGTCCCATCCACACCATCCCGATCACCGTCTGCGGAAGCTAGCAGCCTCGTAGAACGCCTTATAATAGAATCAGCATAATTAAAAAACTGTTCCATGTCTGGGCGCAAAGATACGGCGCAAATGGCACAGATTTATTTTATGTAATATTTCTTTAAACGGCATACTGTTTGCAATTAAAAACAACTGGAACACGAAAGAAAAAGCGGCAAGAGAGATTCGTTTACAAACAGCCAGCCAGAGGCGGAATATTCAAGATTTGCGTTTTACCATAGGACTAATGAGGGCGCATATACAAGTATAACAGGGTTTCACTGTTATGGTTTCACTCTGCCAGCTACGAGTGTAACTAAGCAGTTAAATTTTTGTAGTCTGGATCTGGTTATTTTGGAAATCCGTGTAAAATAGGGAAATACTACGTCTCACCGAAACTTAGATCGTTGCTTAAAGCACATAACTGAGGGAAGGGAAGCACATAACTGAAAGCGTTATTTGACCCAAAGACATGCCGAAGAACTAGACACGGATATTGGTTACCCATGGTATTTGATACCAGCTCCAGCCGGACCCGATCTTCATTTTAGCCAACCACACCGTTTCTGAATCTGGCACTTACAAACAACAGCTCCGCAACAGCGAAGATTTTGGGGAATTTTTGAGAACGTATCTGGCCGAGAAGGATGACGAAGAATAAACCGCACAACGCGATCCGGAAACAGTGTCGAGGCAAGAGCAGCTGCTGGAAGAACTGGGAAAGAAACGGTCCCGGAGCGATAGTGATGTCGAGGCCCGGCGATCATCTACGGCGTCTTCATTGAAACGCGTGCGGAGTGTCCTGCGACAGGCATCGAAGGTATCCAAAAAGGATCGGGAAACTGAGAAAAAATCGCAGCCCGAACCGGTTCCGGGAAAACTGGTGGAAGCAGAGAAGGCGGAAATTGGAGGTGTAAAATGGACCGTGTATTTGACGTTCATAAAACATTTGTCATATCGGACGGCATTCATGATTCTCATATTTTATGGCGGATATTCGGCGATTGGGGCGGCGGCGAGTTTCTGGTTGAGTGATTGGTCCAGACTGCAAAATTCTGACCGAAAAGAAACGGACTATCGGCTGGGTGTTTATGGAGCGCTTGGGTGTGGACAGTGTATGTGTATTTCTCGTTGAGTCTTTTAGTTTAATTTCAGTCAGATTTTCAAGAAAATCAGTCGCACTAAACCGATTTAAGGTGGTACTAAATCTGTAATACTAAATCATAAAATGTGGCCGATTAACTCTTAACTCGGAGCAAGCGCTCTTACAAAAGTAAGGAATACTTCCTCACGTTAAGTACTCAAAGGTTTTTAGTATGGTTCCTTTTTTGTTCGGTTTATGGATTAGCCATATTTGGAGCTTATTAATTAGTATTGCTGCGAGTAGTAAATATTATCTGTTACGCTTACTGTTGCTTTACAAGATTGTTCGCTAGAGCTGATATTTTTCTCCTTTCGTACTTGAGACTTTACTTGTGCACGTTTTACACCATTTCCTGGTGATTTATTCTTTTGTCTTTATTGCGAGCTTTTTCTGGTGATTTTGTAGTGGTCCTGATTATATGCCACACGCTCACGATGGCTTACGGTCGTGTCCGAGCCGGTCGCTATCTGCACGAAGGCCCCCTGCGACGGATTATGCGCGCACCCATGTCCTTCTTCGACACCACCCCGCTGGGTCGTCTGGTCAACCGCTTTAGCAAGGACGTAGATACAGTGGATGTACTGATTCCCTCCAATTCCGATTTATGGCTGTACTTCATTTTCGGTACACTCAGCGTTATCGTTGTAGTAAGTAACTACAATGTTCATTAGTAATAATCGGGAAAACACAGAATATAAAATGGCTTGATTGCAGATATGTGTGACCGCATGGGTGTTCATCATCATTCTCATCCCTCTGGTCATCCTGTACTTTTTCTTGCAGGTAAGCTTGAAAATGGCAATGTAAATACAATGTAAATAGGTATCAGTATTAGGTATCAGTAATTCAAAAAAAAATAGTTATCAGTAAGTAGAAAAATAGGTATCAGTAATTCATTGATTTTGTAAATGGATAATTTACGTATGTACTGCCATGTCACATTACTACCGGGTAGTGATACAAACCTCAGCTAGTACTGCTGCTAAAGCAAGTAATTACATATTATTAACCTTTTAGTACATTTTGACACGCTTTGACGCTTGGAGTTGTACTTGTGATAAAATTTTTGTCGTTGCGATCGTAATCTGAGTATTTTATGTCGCGCCTTATTACGTATTGTTTTACTATACTTTTTATGTTCTTAGTTTTACTGACGGCTCTTTTTGGCTTGCTGTTAATAATATGGAAGGTTTTGATAATGACGTGCTTTACTTTTACAGCGCTTCTACATTGTAACAAGCACACAGCTGAAACGTTTGCAGTCCGTATCGCGATCCCCTATCTTCTCCAACTTTCAAGAGTCCCTTTCTGGAACCGGTGTTATTATCGCTACGAAACAGACGGAACGATTTATCCGCGCAAATGAACGTCTGATGGACAATAATGATATGTGCTTCTGCTTGAGTTTGGTTTCGCAGAGGTTAGTCATGGTCATCTCACATATCTTGAGCAACATGTCAGTGCTAAATTTAAATCATTCTAACAGTTTTGAATTTGTTTTATAATTTGGGTCTAACTTGGCGTTTAAAAAAGTGAAATGAATAATTTACCGATTTCCTGATCGACCGATCTGATGTAGATGGATCGCTGTTCGCTTGGAACTGATCGGTGTCCTGATCACGGTTTCCGCCGCGCTGTATGCGGTGGCCGGTCGAGATTTATCGTGGGAGATGGAACCGAGTCAGGCAGGTTTGTCCATTGGTTATTCGTTATCCGCTACCGGGCTGCTGGCGGGTGTGCTGTGGATTACATCATATTGGAGCAATGGAGAGCAACATTGTGGCGGTGGAACGCATCAAAGATATTCGGAAGCACCACAAAAAGTGTGTACTACCAACGGGTGTAAACAAGTTATCCAAGCGTAGCGCTCTGAAAACTGTCAAAACTTTTTGAATATTTCACAGGCGGCTTGGGTTGTGCCTTCTTCACGCCCACCGGGCGACTGGCCGCCAGAGGACGTGTGGACTTCAAAGATTATCAGACACGCTACCGGCCGTGTCTGGATTTGGTGTTGAAAGGTGTTACGGCGCGGATCGCTAGTGGAGAAAAGGTCATTTGTGATGGATACACACCTGTCTTACTCGTAGTGCATTTTACTTTTTACCTGAGTTCGCTTAATTACATATTGATTTCGTTTAATTTACACGACTAAATTAATAATAGAGTGATTTTATGTAGTGCTTGTAATACGAGAAACGAAAATATTTTGAATCGTGACTTGAAATTTGTAAAGGACAATTGACAATCAACAGGATTTCGGTAATTAATACAGCAAAGGGAGATTTAACTGCTTATTTAGATCGGTATTGTGGGCCGGACGAAGCCGGCAAGAGTTCCATGACGCTGGCCTTGTTCCGCATTATCTAAGCGGCATCTGGATCGATCGACATCGACAATCTTAACATAGCGGACATTAAGCTGCATGATGTGCGATCCCGAATCACTATTTTACCTCAGGTTTGTTGTTATACGTGTGTTTAGTTTGTCTGTGAATTGTCAATTCTGCAACCTCTTTGTTCTGTTTATGAGATCGTTTCTCTAAATCTGTAGGAACCGGTGCTTCTTAGTGGAACTAAAAGAATGACTTTGGATCCTTTCACAAAGTACACGGATGCAAAGATTTGGGATGCTCTGGAACATTCGCACTTGAAGGAGTCTATCAGTAGCCTTCCAAAAGGCTTAGGTCACCTTGCGGTCGATGGTGGTGAAAACTATAGATACGCAGTGCACACAATTTTTCTTCGGAGATTAGTTGTTTTTATGTTTGAGTGTTTTACATGCATATTCCGCGGTCTGCTTGTTGGATTGTTTTGGTACTTTACAATAAATACGTGACCCTGTAAAACTATTTAAGATTTGAAAGCTTTTACCTGAACTACTGTAACGTAAGAAAACTGTGATGCTAAGTATGGAAGGTTATTTGTTGCTTACAGTGTTGGACAGCGGCAGGTAATCTGTTTGGCGCGTGCGCTTTTGAGGAACCAAACATTATGATTGTTTTCAAAATGCTCCAGTTTTCGTTCACAGTTTTGACTGTCTTCATTCACTGATTTTTCGTTGAATTTTTTTAACAAT